AGCTTAGCATATGGTATTTTCCATCCAGAAATCTACCTATCTAGGTTTCAACATCTGCTAAATGACCAGAAAATTAATCAGGAAGTTCAATTAATTCAGATAATAGGTAAAGGCAGAAGTGGTAGCACTGCTAAACTGCTTCTAAAAGCATTAAGGGTACAGGCAATTTTTTTTTTTTTTTTTTTTTTTAATTCAAGCACACAGTCTTTCATTACAATTTTAGCTCCAGTACATGAAGAAAGGAGCCAGTATTTTGTGAAAGTTCATTTTCTACTCCCGAGACAGAAGGCACTAGAATGACAAAAAGCTAAAGTCTAATTGGAAAACAATTTCTTTCTTGTGTATTGAGATCATTAGCACTTATTTGGCACTTTCTAGTACTCTTTTCCTGAAAAAGCTCCCCACGACACTAGTTGACATACCTCAGATAAAATCAAACTGTGCAGCATGAAAAGTTTATGAAGAACAGTATTAATCAACATTAATCAACTTTGGCATTTTACTAGGCTAAGGGAAAAATTGCATTAGGCCAAATGAGAGTCAGCAAATGCATGGCAACACAACGATGCCTGCTTTGTGTTCTGCTCTCTAGACCAGGATTCTGCCATACTTAAAAGCACAAGTATGATTAAAACAAGATTAATTCACTAGCTACGTGAATAAAATTACATTCATAATGATTTCCTAATAAGTAGGAAATCAAAACGTTCTGAGAAGGGATTCATGTGCACAAAAGCTTGGCTATTTTCACTAGCAATATTAGTCTAAGACAATATACAACCTTTGCGTACAACTGCTACCTTCCCTAGGCTACAGTATCTTACACATTGACATGAAAAGTTTATGTTAGGATTGCTGACAGACAGCCAAGATATTTAAAACATTAATGGATGGTAACTTTATATTTTTATTTCCAGCTTTTCCTGATGACAGTGAGGTAGGAAAGGCAGCAGCTTGGATACATTATCTGTTTTCACAGTGGCCAAAAAAAAAAGGCATTCTCTGTGAAGATGTGTCTTGCAAAGAGAGGGGTGGAAGGGAAGAGGCAATAAAATATAAGGTAATTTTTGACATTTTGTCTTGAATTTCAAAGAGGTGTATCAAAAAAAAAAAAGTGTCCTGAATTTCCTTCTTTGAATGTAAAGGGAATTATTCCACTCTCGGTGTGCAAGGAATCTCTTAGTGAGACAATATTTTAGACTATCAGCTGTTAAAGCCTGCCTTGTCCCTTATAAAAGGGACTACATCTATTAGTGGATGACACTTTCAAAAGCAGGGGATTTATGAGTTGGAAAGGAAAAGAACAGAACCAGTAATTACCCTAATATCTAGAAAGTACGCAACACTGAGCTAGAACTGCTGCTTTGCCTGTGTTTCATTAACCACCATACTACAATTCAGATTAGCGCTACAAAGCTGATGCACTACAAAGCCCACACCAGATACACTTGAGCAGAAAGGCTTCTCAGCCTCACCTCTACTTTTGCACAGGGAAGATTTCCACAGCAAATAGACGTGCTCTTCCACAGAGCAAAATGAACAGGTACTGAAGCTCTATAGCACTGACCACACAGCGGACTGAATTTGTTCTACACGTTAATTTAGGGGGGCAATAAACCTGTTGCATGTGCAAAACCAAGAAGGTATCCAGCAGCACTGAGGGTCAGATGGTTATAGTTGCTTCAGTAATGCAGTCCTGTCCTTAAATTGCTCGCCTCGTTACTGTTGTACTTCTCTCCATAGACAGATTAATAATATTTTTTTATTTTCCACCAATGTGTTACTAGCAAATATCCAAATAAATTCTGCTAGTGATCTGGGTGCATTCTTTCCTATATTTGTCTTGAACACGAGCTGTTGCTGATGAGTAGCCACCTTTCTGTGTGCATATTCTCCTCTGTGCCCGCTATTTCAAATGAGAGCAAGCAAGAAACCATCAATAATAACTGAAGGCATTTTGTTGGTGATACAATGTATTTTATAGGTGTTCACCTATCATTTTCAAAAGCATTAATGGCTGTCAGCAGTTCAAAAACCATAAAGAGTAGCCTGTAACACACCCATCTCCAAAACTCCGTCATAAAAGATACAGAAAAATTAGTTACATATGGAAATAAAGCATTGCTACTTATGTAAAAATCACTACACTCCAAGGAGTGTAGGACAAGTCAACATGTGATAAGACAGCATCAAAACCAGGCTACTTTTCTTGTCATCTAGTTTTAATGAAACTGGCAACCTGCCTTCTCCAAGGAAATAATGATTTACAGCAGTGACCTAGGGGTTTTCCCTCCTTGCTTTCCCCTAACTATACAGACCATGGATCCAGTGTGCAGGTTGCAAGCTTTACCAGTGATGTCTTCGGTAGAATAGAATAGACTATTTCAGTCAGAAGGGACCTAAAAATATCATCTAGTCCAACTGCCTGACCATTTCAGGGCTGACCAAAAGCATGTCATTAAGGGCACTGTCCAAATGCCTCTTAAAGACTGACAGGCTTGGGGCATTGACCACATCTTTCAGAAGCCTGTTTCAGTGCTTGACCACCCTCTTGGTAAAGACATGCTTCCTAATGTCCAGTCTGAACATCCCCTGGTGCAGCTTTGAACCATTCCCGCATGTCCTGGCACTGGATCCCAGGGAGAAGAGCTCAGCACCTCCCTCTCCATGTCCCCTCCTCAGGAAGCTGCAGAGAGCAATGAGGTTCTCCCTCAGCCTCCTTCTCTCCAAACTAGACAAGCCCAGAGTCCTCAGCCGCTCCTCACAGGACAGGCCTTCCAGCCCTGGCACCAGCTGTGTTGCCCTTTATTGACCAACAGAGAAGACATTTGATCTGATTTCAAAGACAACCCACTTCAATACCAAAAAAAAAAAAATTTCATTTGGGCCATTGCCTGCAGTAGGACATCAACAACCTCATTTCAAAATAGGCAGTCAGATTTTGCCAATACGGCTATTACTGAAAGCACTTCCATTGTTCAACACCTCAACCCTTCTGTTACAGAAGAAAAAGTTAAATTTTTTCTATCCATCAGCAGATGCAGCCCAGGATGTAAAAACAGGAGAGCTGCATCTAACCCGTAGTAGCAGGTGACTGCAGGCCAGCTAGCGACGACACTGCTGACTCACATCCTGAAAGCATCGAGGACATTGATGGGCACGTGACTGCTTGCTTCTCTGACAAGGAACCGTTTCTCATTTCTAGTCAGAAAGTTGCCTCCTGTGACTTTGTCCACCTGATGTAGCATCTTAGGCTTTCATCTGCTATTGCCCTGAAGTCAACACCGTTACTGTCCATGATTTCAGATCCAGCAACTATTTAACTCCACTGCTTTATGTCATGTTTTTTTCTGTATCGGTAGATAAGATGAGAAGCATATGCAAAGACGTCTCAGCTTTGCTTTAGTCTTTCACAGAATAGCTTAAAGAAGAAAAGGTAAACCTGTTCGCTACCTGACTAAACCATAGGGAGGAATATATTGTCTCGCTATCTGCTGATGCCCACATGTGCTTATCAATGATGTTTTACTACGCTCAGACCTTCATCCTCAGAAGCAGGATGAAGGTAGCATGAAGGAAGTAGCATAAAGAACCATGTTTGTGTTTACATTAACTTTTTTCCTACTCAGTTCCACATCACGCATGTACTGATTGCCTCTTGCACTTCTCCAATTTTGCTACAATGAATTCTACATTATTTCTGAAAAAGAAGAAAAATCAACACAGTATTTTTTTTTTTTCCCAAAATGGTGACGCTACATGAAGTAAAAAATACATGACAACAGAGTGGGGTGCAACAGAGTTAACCACCGGAGAAAGCAAGATCTAGGGTGATAGGAGGCAACATTTGCATGACTCAAGAAGGAATAGAAATTTCTACAGGGCATAGATTCATGAGTCAGAACCACATATAGAAAATAAGCAACAGACAAATTTTGATTTATGGAGATAGGATTCTATTGAGAGTTTCTGTTAACTGGACCATGAACTATCTGAACTTCACTCCCGTGGTTTATAACATCACCGAAACCTCTTGCTATAGTCCATTATGCATCTTCATTTTCCCCTCATTCTCACACACACAAAAATGTCGCAGGACCTGAAGGATTAATTAAATACTGAAAGGACCTAATTTATCAGATTTCTCATCACACAAGCCATTTAGAAGCATTTTACTTCAAGACATTATGTGAAGAAAAAAGCATTTCAAAGAACCGATAATCAACTAGTCCACCAGACAACATGTAACAGTTGTAGTATTTTCTGTGTAAATGAAATTAGCTGATAGCTGAGAATAGGATTTTGAAAATCCTCTAAGCACCAGATATGAACAAATAGAGGAAAAGCTAAATTAACCTGCTTAATTCTGAGTATACTAGAATACAAATTGCCAGAATTATGCGGAGTACACACGCGCGCGTGCACACCCCCCACACAAAGGCAAACCCATATTTTTCCCCATTTCTGAAACTAGTACCTTGCTGTGTTGGGTTGCTTAGGAGACTCTGATCCAAACAGTTATGTCAGCAGGATTATGCAAGCTCCCGACAGGTCTACCAAGGCTGGGTGCATCAAAGATAGAGGCCAGACAGAAATTTCTCTCTCGATTCTTCAAGCGTGGGAGCTGGATGCAAGGCTGACCACCTTCCTCTTTAAAAATATTACTGGCTAAGTCTTCACTTTGTCTCCATGACAATTTCCATCTCAGTTCCTTGGATTAGTGGATAGTCCCAAATCAATCTGTGCAACAAGCATCAGTCCAATCCTGCCTCAGCAAGGAGCTTGAACCTTGAAGTAGCTGCTGCTCCAGCATCACTCCATATTATGTATAAGATTCTGGCATGTACATACAATGCTGCAAGCTGGAAAAATCAGCTCAAGTTATGAGGGAGATGGAAAATTACAGTATTGATATTCTCAGCATGAGTGGGTACAGATGGTCAGGAACAGATTGTATCAAATTGA